TTATGAAATTTACATTTAATGTGTGTTTACTTATGTAATTTTAATGAAATGTACTCATTTTACTTTATGTAATTAGTGTGTTAACTTTCTATAATTTTCTCTAATTTTAATAAATACTTCATATGAAATGCTGATAGAATCTGACAGTCTTAAGACTCCCTGCATTGCGTATGCCCTTAGACTACCCCCAATGGGGGATGGAGGAATTGTAAAATAGAAAAAATAGAGAGAGAAGTGAAGAGATACATTGAAATTAGGAGAGAGGGATTGTGAATTTAGGATCGTATGACATGAGATTGGTGAGGCTTGCTACGTCAGAGAAGGTACAAATTTCTTCTTTGTTTTAAATTTTTTGTTAACTCCATCATGAAAATGGGGATGACATGTGGGGGCCCTCTGACAAGTTGCCCCGGACTATTGTTTTTTTATTTTTATTTTTTCCTTTTCACCATGGCATTTGGAATTGGGAGATTATTAGTTTTTTATTAAAATGCATAACAATCCCTATATCCCATCTAGCATTGGGGATAGTCTTAGAAGCTACTACTGGTTGTTTAATATTTTGTCTTGTTTGGGAGCTCATCAACCACATAAAAATTACTCCCCGCCCAGATTTAGGATTCCACTTTCTTGTGTTTGCTTGTCCCAAATTAGTTTTCAACTTTCCACAATAAATAGAGAAATCATGATGAAGTGTCTAAAATATACTAAGGATAGAGTATCATCATTGTTGTCATGAACGTAACAAACTCATTTAAAGGACTTATTTGATGCGTTAAACTCATCTTTTAAAAAATGAGATATTTTAGAAAGTGGACAACTAAATCTAGATGGAGGGAGTAAAACACTACTATATAGTTGTTTATGTGATGCCTACAACTTATATTAATATATGAGAGGGATGAGTTAAATACCTTTGATATTTGCAAAACCTTCAAGGGAATAGTGATTACATAGTTCTTCTACCTTGTCTATGTAGCCAGCTTCCATAGCTAAATAAACCTTAAGTATTTCCCAAATGAAAATTAAAAGATCAGTTTTTGGGAGTTTAGTTGCAGAGAATAGAAGTAGAGAATGGTTTATCACACCTAAATTCAAATGGTTATGGAGTAACCTTAGTGCCTTACATTCGGAATGGTAATGCATTGTGTGACAAATAACTCATCAGATGCATGCACCATGTAACAATAGTTATAATACCACATCATAAACCATGAATTTATTGTGATCAAGAGATGTAAATGAAAGATCCACAGATTCCAAATGTAGAAACAAATAATTAATACTGTAGTATTGATTTTTTAGCAAGGCCTAACCTTTGCATATTATGAATGTCTTGACATGGAGTTTTCAGATGACTTGCAAAAAGGGAAATAAAAAAGACTACAGACTCTACAGTTATATATATAGCTCATTCAGGATAGCCGTTAGAGGTTGTCAACATACCAAATACTGAAGAAGTTGTCTATCATTGTGTGTCCTTGCCTCGGCAACATCCCAACATCCTTTTTCTGCAAGCTTCTTCAGTTTTCTGAAAATCAATATTAAAGGTTTTGAACAGACTGAACCTAAATTATATCAGTATGTACATAAGAGATTGAGAGTACATTGATTAACTTGCCTTTCTTTGCGCTGATGGTATACTACTGGGAATTCTTCCCTCATATTGTTTTTACTTATAACCTCATAAGCATAACTATCCAGTTTTCTATCAAAGCATTCCTGGACAAGCACACACAAATGTTGTTTCCCCATAAACGTTGCCCATTTTTCTGCTGCTTTGTATTCTTTACTATCCATGAGTCTAAGTAGAAAAGAATCCTCTAGCTCCCGGATAGAGAAGTGCTCTAAAAGAAAAACTGCAGATGTATATGAGCTGCGCTCTATCAACTTTAAGATATATTGCTGAACAAATATTTCAGCTGTTTGTTGTCCAATCTCACTGTTTACATGTGAGCCACATATGGCTTTCCCGATGTTTGAAAGGTCCACTTTAAAAACATCAACAATCTTGACAAGAATCTTTTCGTCATAATTCAGCCTGCAGCGAGCAATGTTGACAAACAATTTGGCCGACCAAATCTTTGCATCAAAGATGTTTGTTTGGGTACTTTCCATTTTCAGAAAACGCTCAAAGGAAGATATAATAAGATGAGAGAAACCTTGAAGGTATACATTAACTATTGGCAAGACATAGAAGCACTGTGCAGCAAAAACAGCTGGCCCAGGTTGAGGACCATTTTGAAAACCTTGAACCAATACTTGTTGTAGAGCTCGAAACTTAGGAGACGATTTGCGTGTTCCTATGAAACAAGAAAACATTTATGAGGAAAACTAACAATTGTAGATCACAACATGAGTCACCTTCTCATAGTGCACTGAGAACTAGAACAATGGTAAACAGATTGTGTGCAAATAGAATTACATAACAATCTCATTCTGATAGGCAGCCAATTCCGACGAATTAGATGATTTAGATCTCATGACTACATTTGGAATTGGAACCCCCGAGAATTCCCTAACTCCTGGATTTTCTAAATTGCAGAAAGCCAATGCATCATAACAACCTCCAGAATACCACAGGTTTTGCCCGATTCCGGGTAATTTAATAAATCAACTTCATTAAGGAAAAAAATTTATTAAATTCCTAGTAATTCCATTTCGATCACCAAATAAATTCAAACGAGGGCAAAAGAGTATACAAATCAGGCCTCACCCACAAAGCAGGAAAAACTCTTCAAAATATGTTAATCCCTAAACATTGCCCAGAGGATCAACATTATTATAATATATTTGAAAATGGATTCCTTTAATACCCTACGGCATATTAAAAATCAACACTATGTTCAAGAACACATCACGTGAAAACATAGAAATAGAGAAGTGCATAGAATCATTATTTTCATGAGATGACTTACTAACAAAGGTAGAAGTTACAATTCTATGCGAAAGAAGGTTAGTAAAAAGACAAAGATAAAGGTATCAGATTTTACCATGAACATAGCATTCCTTCAACAGATAGACAAAAACTACTGGACAAACATGAGACAGATCATTGAATGAATGTTTTGATAAATACAATGGTTGGTCTGTCTTGTCAATCTGACAATCGCCTCTCTTGTCCTTCCACATGCTGAAGCCTAATGGTGAGAAAACTATTCTGCATAATTAAGTGGGAAAAAAAAAGAGAAAAAGTTTAAAAGAAAGAGTTACCTATATACCAACCAACACAAAACATAAATAGTAACACCTTTATTAGGCTTATAAGCTGCTAAACTAGAATGAAGTTGGCATTTAAGTAAGAATCACAAGATACTGTTAGTTACCCCAAATGGCATAAAAAAACAAACATTTTTCTGAATATAGAAATGCAGATTTTGACTCTATGATTCTCTTGCATTTAAGGTGTTTCCAAATCTTTGAGAAATAGCAAAGGCGGAAATATGAAAATATAATGGAAAGGCACAAGATTGGACTCCACATTGGACAACCAAAACCAATTTTAAAAGTGTAAATACAAAGCATACTCCCTATCCAGTAAGAGAAAATTTCACATGAAAATAAGAAACACAGGTCCCAATGCAAAGGCACAACTTCAATTTAAAAGAAAACTTAACTGCTACTGAGCATCTTAAAAGTAATGGAACAGTCACGACCAGGAATTAGCAACATGTGAAAATTTTTTATACCTTGGAAAAGACCATCTTTAAGTAACTACACTAACTGAAGCTTGTCCCAAAATGAAATCTAAGGTATGACTTCACGCAGTTAAAGAAAAATATTGAAAAACAAAAAAGTGCGGTTGAAATTTCTTTAGAATAAAGAAATTTTTTTGAGCCACATATTCACATGGAAAAATTAAGTTTACGGTATCCGTGCATACGGTAAAAAGTAAAAAAAATAGTGGTTGAGATTTTCTTATAAAAGTACTCGTAAAAATTATGTAATTTAGATATTCATTTTCTTAATAAAAAAGTAAAAAAAATTAAAATTTATTTTAAAAAAATAAAAGATTGAGTGGAGTTAAATCTGGGGCAAATGGAGTACATATAAAATAACAATAAATTGAGGTGCAAAATGAGAAATTGCATCTGGGCAATCTTAAAAAAGTGTCCCACTTTTTTCCTTTGCAAAGAGTTAAAAGTGCTCCATAGATTCCAGACCTAGAAAAGGCATAGACTCCATAATACTCATGTACTATAATGTACACACATCACCAGGCACTATAAATCCGAAAATAAATTGAAGTTCTGAATTTTTTTTCTTTTTAATCCAAATCAAAACTTAAGGATGAATTATAACCTACTATATATTCGAACAACTTCACCCTAACAAATCACCTAACCAGAAGAAGTGTATACAGTTTCTGCAATTAAAAAAACATATATTCTGCCTTCAATTTATGATATTTGATGTGTAGAATTAAAATTCACATTCAAAAGTTCTGCAAATCAAAAGCTGCACAAAAATGGAAGAGGAGAATTCAATTTCATTCTACAGAAGGATCAATGTAATTGATAAAGAGCATGATTTACTTAATTACCTGTACGTAATTGTGCGGCGTGTATGAAATTCCAGAATAAAATTGTTCTACGTCCGGATTTTGGACGGAAATTCGGAATCAGTTTCACGAAATCGCCACTCGCCAGCTAAAAAGAGAAGCTTTTGCTATTTTCCGGTAAAGTTTTGGCTCCTTACCCGCCCCTGCCAAACTTCGTTTGCCCTGTTCACGTGTTACTACGGCCGAAGTATTTATATTATGGGATGGGCAATTGGCAGAGATTTTTTCAAACAAATATTACTAGTTTTTTTTTAAAAAGGTGAGAGTTGGTATATGGTACATTCGGATGTACGTAGATATAGGTACATCCATGTAGTACTCATTCTGAAGTAAATTTGTACTCATTTTTGCACAAGCATAAGGGTTCATTTGAAAAACGTAATACTCATTTTGAAATAACGCAGTACTCATTCAGAAACAACGTCGTACTCACTTTCACAAATTTGTTCAAAATTCATTTACGAATAACATAATATCCATTCTAAAACACAGTAGTACTCATTTCCGTATAACCTAGTACTCAATAAACAACCTACCATTCATATAATCATATGTCTGAAACTGGGTAAGTGAAAGAAAAGATCTTGAACGGAAGACCATCGCGAACGGAAGCAGAATTGATCGGGAATCCAATGACCTCCATCTTCATCAACAACCTCCGCAGAAGACCTTCATCAACAACCTCCATCTTCATCGCCGCGCAGCCTCCTTCATCGAGAATCGCTGATCGGGAATCCATCGCACAGCCTCCTTTGTGGCCGATCCATTCAGCCATAATTATTTACTGGTTGTACGGTTCTTCCCGTACAGCCAAATATACGGTATAATTTGCCCACACCGAGAGCCCCACACCCCGGCCAATCACGATTGTCCGGTATTAAATTACAGTATAATCTTAGTATGGTACTTAGAGAAGATGTCAAGTGCTCAGTACGCACAAGAATCTATTACAAAAAATAGTACTTCTATAGTGCACCCTTAGTGCATACTCCGGGAGTCCGAGTACTATTTTAGTGGACCTTCTTACGTAAAAAAAACTTAATTTTTATTTTTTTTTAAAAAATAGATGCTTTTATATATATATATATATATATATATATATGATTGACTATAGTGAGATGACATTTTACGGTCAGATGATGCAAAGCTCACCACTGCCAATTGCAAAGCTCACTAAGGACAACTACAAAGCTCACCAAATTATAAGGCAAAGCTCACCATATTTTTTCAGCACTTTGATTTTTTTTTGAAAAAATAAAATCAAAGAAAGGGGTGATGACTAGACTTTGACCGTTGACCGAGACCTTTGACTGCCACCTGCCGCCTCTGGTCACCGAAATCTGCCGCCAGCCGCCGCCGGTCGCCGAAATCCGCCGCCTGCCGCCGCCGGTCGCTGGAATCTGCTGTCGCCTCGCCGGCGGTCGTCGGAATCCTGTGCCGCCCTGCCGCCGCTAACCGGTGGTTGACCGGTGTTGCTATTTTATTTTTATTAATTTTAAATAATTAAAATTTAAAAAAAGGTAAGTTTTGCTGTTCAAAGTCGTGAGCTTTACTTTATTTTTAGGTGAGCTTTACATTGTCCATTGCTGAGCTTTATAGTATAGTGTGGTGAGGTTTGCGTCATCTCACCCAAGCATATAATCTCGCCATAATGTGTCATCTCACTGGAGTCTATATATATATATATATATATATATATATATATATATATATGTATGTATGTATGTATGTATGTATGTATGTATGTATGTATGTATGTATGTATGTATGTATGTATGTATGTATGTATGTATGTATGTATATATATATATATGTATGTATATATATATATATATATATATGAGAGATTCCTAACATAACCAAAATTTAAAAATAGAAACTAACTAAAATACAACATCTACCATAAATAGAAATAGTTATTCTTCCGTAGTCTTAAGGTTCACACGTGAAATGTGAATCTTCCTGCACTTTTAATGAGCTGACAAGAAGATCTTTTCTTTTTTGCAAAAGACATAATTTTTTACAATATCAATGTACTAAAATCCATAAAATAATCATAGACATTAAGACCACGGAAAAGTTGTCAAATAAATATATTTAATATTATTATATAACAATTATGTCCAAAAAACAAATAAAAGCATTAAATCCGGGAACCATATATGCATAGATTCCGTGAGTGGGAAATACATTTGACACACACGAATTCAGCATGCTTTAATAATCGGGAAAAAGAGTTTAAAAAGTTTTAAAGATAGTGTGTGCCAAACTTAGAGATGAAGAATCACGTAAGCTTTTCTTCTTTTACTCCGTATGTTTCTTTATAAGTTACTCCCTACTTTATACACCAAATAGTTTTAGTACCCTTGAAAAATAGGTACTAATATTTTTTTTTTAAATTTGTATAGTTTTAAAATATTGCTGCACCACATGGGTATTTATGGGTGTAAACGGATTTTAATCGGATCGAATGTGCAATTACCAAATCCGCATCCGTTTATTTTTGTCGGATATCGAATTCGGATACGGATCTAGACGGATATTGAAAAATCAAAACCGTATCCGCATCCGTCGGATATCGGTCGGATATCGGATATATCTGTATCCGTTTCCAATTTTTAAAACTAAATTAAACAATATTTGAACTTTCAATTAAACTAAATTAAAATATTATTAAATCAACTATAATTTTTATGGGATATTAATTTTCTTATTTTTTATAGTTTATGATATTCTACGATGACTTCATATCATAAAATGATATACACAGTACATATATACACATACTTTTATGTGTTTACACATATATTTTGCATATAAAAATGTCTTATACTTTGAGATATCTATAGAGAAACAAAATATAAAAATAAAAAATTAGGAAAGACTATATATAACGGATCGGATATACGGATAAACGG